GGGACTTCAGGGGGCGGCATCATGAGGCCTTGCGAAGCGCTGGCGCCTGCATCTCCATTGATGATCGCGCAAAAGTAGTCCGCGCAGGAATGCACCGCGTCCCCGATCATCCGTCCGGGGCCGGGTGCCTAGAACGCTTTGCCGTCTACCCACAACTTCGATTTCGCCTCGAACTCCTCCTCTTGGCGGGACCTTTTCTTCCTCGCCCTCAGAGGCTGGTCGTCCTCTTCTTCCCCACGCGGACTCTCCTCCCTCCTCTCCTGTTTTCTCCCCGCCTCTTCCACCCTCCGATCTTCTCGCCTTTCTCGACTACCGAGGGCGGTGGCATGGCCAGCGGCGCTCGCTGCTTGCGCGGATTGAAGCACAGCCCTTGGCGAAGCGCCGATGATCGTCGGGTTGGACGCCTCCACGTGGCGCGATGGAGACTTACCGACGGGAGCTTTATCGCCTCGCTCGGACACGAATGCGATGGTAGATGCAGAACCCACGACCCTCTGCAGCGGAATGTCACCGGACATAACTCATTGCGCACGAGCCGTTCCGCCATCGCCACCTCGCGTGGACGTGAGGACGCCAAGGTTGGTGAGCGCAAGCATACGCTGCCTGCTTACACCGTCTCGCCCGAACCCGAGCGCAGGCGTCCCTGCAGAAGTGATGTCCATAGGCGTCACCTCCTCTCCCCCGTCACCCCCCATCTCGCCTTCCGACCCGTCTCCCCCGCGGAGCTTCTTCGATTTTGGGACGTGGCCCCTTCCTGTTTGCCCTGCACTTACTTCGCCGGAACCACCGCGTGGACGTTTCGGCTTCTGCTGAAGTCGCCAGGGATCGTCTTGCGCGGGCGATGTTCAGCTCCCCACGCAGCACGGAATCCCCACGCGTGGCCTTGCGTGCATTTGAGAACCAAAAGACATGGACAAGATAGCGCTCGCACGGACCTTTATAGTGCTCGTGGTGACATTCCCCCTCTCTCGGCGCGCGGATCCTGCCCAGACGGCCTCCAGCACACCCCTCCACGTGACGGCAGCGACGATCACCCATTCCTCATGCGGGCAGACCACCCCAAATACCAAGGGTCAGTGCGGTCCAGGGAATGGACGGCCCTGCCCTGGAGGGCCAGCGACTCAACATTTCGAAGCGCGCGAGGGTAGACGGCCATCGCGCACACCATCCCCCGCCTTGTTTCCTGGATTTCTGTCGTTGTCGGAGGAGCGGCACCACATTTCGCCACGGGCCAGTTCTCGGGCGAATCCACCACAACGGCTTAACAAACCTCACGCCACCGGCGTCAAGATTTGTCCCTTATTGCTCTGGCAATCTCCATCAACGTCGTGCACATCATCCTGTTCGCCTCATCGGACGCCGTGTAATGCCTCTCCAGTATGTCACACTGCCGCTTTTGGGCTTCAGCCTCCCGGTCCAGGATGTCACACTGCCGCTCGAGGATGCTACACTGCCGTTTGCTTGCACCCTCTATCGTGTCCGCCATCAATGCACCGTGTTTGTCCATGACTTCAGCGATGGCGTCGCAGGTCTGCTGCCTCATGTTCTTCCTCTTCGCTGGAGTGACCGTGCTCCCTGCACTGAACCCCGACTCCCGCGCTAAACCCACATCTTCGTCGACGCCATCACCCCCCTCTCCACCAGCAGAGAACTCTCCACCAAGGACCGCCTGGCGGTGACCATCCATTGCTGGCGGCACTCCTCCGCGGGCGCTCGTGTCTGCCACGTTGTTCGGGTAGATGGTGTTGCTATTTTTGGACATGTTGTCGATCTCATTGAAGACTCACTCATCCATTCGGAAGTTGAAGCCCTCGTCCGCTCTCGTTGCAGGAGTTAATGTGAAGAAGTTTTTTCCACCACACATGTTCTAGTAACGTTGCACCTTCTTGTACTGCTGGAAGATGTTATCCCACTTCTTCCCGATGTCGTCCGTTGCCCTGTTCACTCCGACCTCCGCCAGCCGCTTCTGTAGGTCCAGCAACTTCCATTCCCTGTTGCGCATGCGGCCGTGGTTGTGCGGCATTCCACCGAAATGAGCTTGCTGATCCCGCTTCGCTCGAGCGAGCTTCAACATCTCCTCCACACTCCAAGCTGGGTGCTTGCCACCCTTGTCGTCCACAGGAGCCTTTGATCCTCGGCCACCACGCGACTCGCCCCTCTGCTGACGTCCGCGTCCTCCCCCTCCGCCCACCACGCGCAACCACGGCTCGGATCTCCAGCCCCTCACCGTCTTCCACGTCGTCTTCGTAACGGGAATCCGGAGACTCGTCTCCACTCGCCCGACGGCTGTCGTCCGCATCCATGTCGCTCCCCACACGCAGCCTGGACACACCGGTGGTTATGTTCTTTGCGGCAGCACGCCGCATCTGTAGGCGGCAGTTCTCCCACGCCTGCCTCCCGATGTCTTCCGGTGGAGTCCCATCATTGATTGCAGCACTTGCGGTCGCCCTCTGCCGCATTGCAGGCGAAGACACCGAGGGGCGAGTGGGTGTCACAGCCCTTGACGACTCGCCAAGTGGCCCGGCGCCCATGGAACTCGACACCGGTGGACGACACCCATTCGTCGGCCCACCGACACGGGACGATCCTCCTCCGAACGTCGGCGCTCTCACCCCCCCCCACCGTGGATCGGACCACTTGCACTACTCCCGCTGCACAATCCGAAATCCAAGTCCACAAGTTCCGTGGCGGCGTTGTCGACACCCTCCTCCAGCAATGCGGTGAACGACTCGCGCGTGGTCCCTGCTTCCCTCTGCTGGCACTGCCTGCTCGTCCACTCCTACGTAGATCCACTCCCCAAAGGAAGTGTGTGCGACAGATCCTCGACCTAGGTGTCCTCCGGATCCGGCGGCAACGGCTGCTCGTGCGGTGGAAGATGACTGTACAAGGACGGGTCATATGCGGCAGGTCGATGGCCGGACAGGGGTCGATCAGGAATGGAGAAATCCATCACACGTCTTTGCTGTCCGACGGAGCTGTCCCGTCTGTCCATCGTCGTCTTCCTATCCACTTGTCGTCTCTGTCTACGCCCAGGAGGCCGCGGCACGAAGAAGGCACGCAAAAAGACGAGAAGCAGCAGCAGAAGAGTTGCTAGTAACAGGAGCGGTAGCCGCCGGAAGATGTCTGCCATGAAATGCACCACGTGTAGATGACCACCGAACGGACAACCCTCACGCGCGCACGCGAATGGCAGCAAACGGGCCGACCGGCGACAACATCACATCCCGCACATAAAACAAATTTCGAAATATTCGACCGTTAGACACGATGCCCGACGAAGCGTAGAAGGAGAACCCCACCGCTCCGACGTCTGTCGCACCCGAAGCGGGACCCCCGGCCGTGTACGCGCGAATGGTAACACCACAAGGCCGTTGGTGACCTCCCGCCGGTTGGAAGTCGATATTGTCCGCCCGATGGACCACGGACGTCATGTGCACCAGCAAAAACAGAAACTTTCCGTGTTGACGCACGCTCAACGACGGCCCGTCTATCGCGGATCCTTGAGCCCAAGGGACCTCTCAAGGACCCCTTGAATCCAAGGATGCAATGGCTGGGGATTTCGAGGGACCCAAGGAAATCTCTTGGGAGCGTTTTCACATTTTTTCAAGGATTTTTGTTTTTTAGGACGTGGTGTAACCATAACTTTCGACATTCCTGAGGATTTTCAAGGAGGGTCTAACGAGGCCTTATGTGCAAATGGAATATGTATCCGCCCGTTGAACGATGAACTATACAGCCGTCATCATCTTTTTTAGCTTTTTCACATTCGGTGAGTGGTGCGACGACGCCCCGGGTCACAAGTCAGAGAAGAGTGAGGTGAAATTTTTTTATTTTTATTTTTTTCGGGAAAAAGTAGGGAGTCCTTTATTCAAATTAAAAAAAAACTCTGACGGAGAATTTGAAACACGGAGAATTCGTCGTGGAGAACAGGGTTCGTGTCTTCAAGGTGAACGCGTAGATAGATAGACTAAGGGTCTCGCTCCACCATTGTCCGCTATACAAAATTTCGGAGAGTTCATGTATAGCTGTTAGAGTACAAAAAAACAGAGATTTCGTGTATAGTCTTCGCCGTCGCTCCACTTACTATCCGCTATACAGCTCTCCAATTCCTGAGTTCACTACAAAACACCCTAAGAGCACTACAAGACAGCAATTTGTCGGCCCAGACTCCAGGCGGACTATCCGATTTCGTGTTCGAACGGCGGCCTCCTTCGACCACCCTTCGAGGAGTATCCGAGTAACGACTTTTGCAGGCTGGGAACTATACACAAATGTAGAGTGCGATCCACGACCGATTTCTGACAACTATACAACGAAGTTTTCACGTGCATAGTGTATAGTTAGTGGAGCGACGCCGAACTACACAATTTTGTATAGTGTATAGTAGTGGAGCGAGACCCTAACTACGGCATGGCTTAAAGAGCGTATGGTAACGGTGATTTTCCAGGGAGAGGCGAGAGACTTACCGACCAAAACAAGAGAGGACCTTATCCGTGTGTATGAGAATGGATGGTTCCGCAAGAAGACTTTCACCAGAGGCTTCAAGAGAGGGAGAGTGCATGGGAAAGGGCCGAACGTTATGTCATACGTGGCCAAGGCAAGCGGAATCGCTCAGTGGTTGATTGCCAAGGTAGATGACATGGTGGTTATTAGAGGCATGGAATATCGGATGCTATTTAAACCATGGATGACCAGGGCAGAATTGAAAGCGCAGAAGAGACAAGAAGACGAGACGAAGTTCTGGGTGGTAGCGCTGAGAGTACCGCTAAGAGCAATGTTCCACGTCGGCGACCTAGTTTCTCAGGCTATGGGTCCCATCATCCATCGCCATCCACCTGAGCCGGACCCTTCAAGACCAAAGCTGATGAATCTGAAATTCGATCTAGCAAGAGAGGCCGAAGAAAGGTTCGAAGCCATGCTCCCGATGATGTTGGAGGATGGAGAGAAGTACGAGGTCCAATTTGTATGCAAATCAACACCGTGGTGCACTCGGTGTCGGTGGTGGTTTTATACGGAGAACGATGGCTGCCCAAGAGAAGGGGAGGTAGAGGAGAACGAGAGAGACGCGAGGGGCAACACGAACCGAAGACCTCATCGAGGAGATGCAGTTTTTCAACGGGATATCCGAGGAGCGGCTAGGGAGCCAGATACGGACAATGCTGGAAGGGGGGAGTTGAGTGAAGCAGGAGGACGAGGACAACTACAGGAGACTTCGGGCGTGGCGCGACTAGGGGATCGAGGTCATCTCCACCAAGAAAGAGTACAACAGCTGAGGGTCGGTGAAAATCACCAGAGAAGGGGACCACATGGAGGAGAGATGCAGAACTTTAACCCAACGCGTGGCGCACAACCAGGAACGTGGGACTCGCATACTGAGGGGGGTGATCCTTACCTGGCAGCTATGCAATACAACCCCATGTGGCATCAACCACAAACAGCGGGTAATATGCATGGGCGATGGTCCAACGCAGGCTTACCAGGTTACCAATTCTCTCCCCAGTTATTGGGACCCATGCTTGCAAATATGGCGGTCGGTAACAATTGGGGCTCCAGATCAGGGGTGGAGCGGCCCATACCGACAAAAGGTGGGAGAAGAATCAAGGAACGAGTAGTCACGGAAGACGGAGGACATGGAGTCCCTACAGGAGATGATCGTATGAAAGCTCTTGCGGAGGAGGACAAGCCAGTGCTTCCAATGTCGTAATCGATCACTCACAGAACGGCGACGGAAGAACCGCAAAGAAACGAAGGGCGATCCCAGATGGCGTCAGCACACATGATCTTGGAGAACAAGTTTACGAAGAGAAACTGTTGATGCCACTAGTCTGCACTCTATTAGGCCAGGAAGCTTTCATCCTGGGGCTAATCAGCAGAGGAGGACAAACGATGCTTCCCTCAACTACATTCCGGGGAGTTCCTTCCCCTGGAATGATTGAAGCAAGGATAAGAGAACTGTATGCAGATCGTTTCGTGTTCCGCCTGTTTCCAGAAGAGACCATGCCGAAGGTAACGGTCGAATCGTCGGGAGGGAAAAGGTACAAATTCTACATCTTATTGGTGGATGCTCGCATCCCAATTCCTCATTGGGTAGGACTACCTGCGGTTGGTCTTTCCTGTATTCCACTACGCACTCTCCTAGAAAACAACGAAATAAAATTGAACAATGTGTTAGTGGAACCAGGACTCTCAGCCACGTTCCTGAGGGCGATCAACGATCGGATGCCAGTGGATCGCAACCTGAAGTCAGGTTACATCCAAGAAGTGTTGGCGGAGGAATGGCAGCAGGCGAGCCCACAGCAAGACGAAGACCAAAGGAATCTTATGGGAGGGGAGCGAATCCAACGGACTACCGTAGAGGACGAAACTACACATGGGGAGAATTAAGATAGGCACCTGGAATGTGAAGGGATTGGGCGACTCAGGAGGTAGGCAGAGAGGGTGCAGACTCAAGCAATGGATACACAAGAAGAATTTGGATATAGTCTTTGTCCAAGAAACTAAGTTGTCGGAAGCTAAGCTAGCTTAGATAACGGATTGGTGGGATGGACCGCAGTTGTGGTCCCCGGCAAGGGGAACCAAAGGAGGGACAACCATTCTCGTACAGAATAGGATTGAGGCAGAGTTAGTGGACTATGATGCGGACCTTTGGGGACGATGGGTATGGCTCAAACTGAGCATTGAGGGGAGGGTGGTAGCGACTGTTTATGCTCCTAACGAACCGAACGAGAGACTGCGCTTTATTACTGCACTGCCATACTGTCTACCAAGAGCAGAGAACATGGTAATAGGTGGTGATTGGAACCTTGTATGCAGCCCAAGTCTAGATTCTGAATCGAAGGAGACATTGAAAAGGGATAGAGAAGCATTGCTACTTTGGAAGGAAGCGTGGGAGCTAGTGGACATCTACAGAGTGTTGTATCCTCAGGAGCCAGGCTTCACATGGTTCGCATGCATGTCACAAGCGGCCGGTGCCAAAAGAAGACTAGACTTTTTCTTGACAACAGGTGTCTGCATAGAGAATACACAGTCTGTGATGGAATCGTATGCATCCATATCGTATCACAAGCCGGTCATCATGGATATGACCTAGTCTGAGGAGAATCAGAGGGGTCCAGGTCACGTCAGGCTAAACATGCAGAATTTACAAGATGTAGGTTGGATAGACTGGATGAATCAACACTGGCAGTCATGGCAACAAACGAAGGAACACGTCGAGTCCTTCGAAGATTGGATGGGCGCCGACCTACGCATTACTTCACACAAGTTTGCTTCTTTCTCCGTAATCGCGGCCTTCCTAAGGAACAAGGAGGAGAGGCTAGGGTGCTAAGGGCAAAGGTTGAGGAAGCAGAAAGGAAGATGAGAGACCACCCTATCTCGGAGCTGGCTTGGGGAGAAGAAAGAGCACAAAGGGTGAGGGAGTGAGATCAGACTCAGACAGAGAAACAGGCAAGGTGGGACCTAATACTGAAAGAGAAAGGGATAGTAGCAAACGATAGAATGACGAAGGAGAGCTTCCAGAAACTGCTGCCCAAGCACAATATGACTCCTATGAAGGAACTGCAGCACTCGCACCTACTGGGTCTGGAGCTGGCACAGTCCAATGCAGATATGTGTGAATATGCTGCAGATTACTTCAGGGATATCCTGGCCACGAGGAAGCAGAAATGGAATTGGGAAACGAACCTAACTAAGGAAAACACGTTTTGGGAGACTCTCACAGTGCGCATCTCAGAGGAAGGTAGCCGAGATATGGACAAACCGATCTCATCGGAGGAACTAAAGGAAACTATCAAGTATATGGCCTCGGGGAAGGTGCCACGGGACGATGGTTTACCTGTGGAGTTTTTCTCCACTTGCTGGGACACTCTGGAACCGGATCTGGTGCAGCTGTATAACTCGATCCTGACTGGTGCAAAGCTGGGACAGACGATACGAAGGGCATCATCACTTTGCTATACAAGAAAGGCGACCGTTCAGATGTAAGAAATTGGAGGCCCATTTCTCTTCTGAACGTGACATACGAGATATTGGCGAAGGCTTTGGCAAGAAGGCTGGCCAAATATCTATCGCAGTTAGTAGCAGGTGACCAAGGGGCCTTCGTCCAGGGCCGTTCAATTTTCGACAATATATTGACGGTCGTAGAAGCACTAGAGGTGATTGAAGGGGACGATTTGGACATTGCAGTACTCATGATAGACCTGGAAAAGGCATGTGATAGAGTCAATTGGACATTTGTAATGTCCATACTTAGGGTCCTTGGGTTTGAAGACCTGTTTTGTAATTGGATCAAAGCAATGTATGCGTTCGCGTCCGCTGCAGTCCAAGTTAATAGAGTCTGCTCCAAGGAGTTCCCTCTGTCTACATCTCTGAGACAAGGGTGCCCGCTGACACCGTTGCTCTTTGTCCTGCAGTTAGAGGTGTTGCTGAGTGCTATGAGAGCGAACCCTAGGATTCAGGGGTTAAAGCTAACAAACAATAAAGCCTGCAAGGTCAAAGCCTTGGCAGACGACCTGCTAGCCTTCTTAGTGAACTCGCCTGTATCTCTCAACAAACTCAGAAGACGTCTACAAATATATGAAGATCTATCCGAGGCTGCAATTAATTGGAAGAAATCCTCCTATTTCCTCCTCAAAGACTTTGAGTTGCAGGCCAGGTGGGGGATGAAGAGAGTACCCATCAATGCGGCAGAACGTTTTCTGGGAGTTCAAGTACCCCTGGATGATTGTTCATCCTCACAGAATTTGATTCTATAGGAAAGAGTAACAGCAAGGATCAGAAGCTGGGGTAGTGCCCCACACCTGTCACTGATGGGGAGGGCTTTGGTGGTCACGTTAGGGGCGTTTTCTTTACTATGGTTCGTGCTCAGACTCTGCAAACTCACAACCGCCACACTCAGGAACATAAAAGGGATGGCCAAAAAATTTATCTGGAAGCCTCACGCAGAGGAGAATCAGGGGTACATCTCCAAGGTAGCCTAAGAGACCCTGTGCAGACCGAAAGAGGAGGGGGGACTGGTGATCACCGACCCAGGTTCTCAGAATGTGGCACTTCTATCAAGTTGGGTAGTGAGGGTAGCAGAGATAGAAGATCCCCCAGACTGGTGTTTGCTAGCCGAAAAAATTCTGCAGGAAGAATGGGGTCTGTCAAGACCAACGGATGTCTGGGTTGCGATCATAATGGAGTCATTCGTTAATAAGAGAATCAAGTCGAAATTTTGGGGAAACGTGCTGTCATCCTGGAAGAAAATCAAACCAGACCTTCTAGTGGAACCAGCTACCAAGGAAGAAGTCGAAAAGTAGCCACTGTTTGATAACCACCACATTAGGAACGCGACAGGCAAACCGTTTTTTGCAGCAACCTCAGCAGGGAACTTTGGACTCAAATGGGTGCAAAGAGGAATCTCCCTAATAGGGGACCCATGCGATGAGCTTGCCAATCAGTGGCACCCAGCAAGCCGTTTGCGAGAGAAATTGAGACAGTTGCCGCTCCAAGAGAAGAGGCAGAGCTTGCTAATCGAAGCAATTCCAGCCCACTGGAAACTGCTTCTGGGACCGCAAGGCACAAATCCCCCCAACACGTGGTACAAGTCGGAAGATGGAGTACCAGTTAAGTATTTGAGGATGGTTAGGTGGGTAGAAGAGGAGCCAGGCAAATGCGAGGTAGAAGAGTACAACAAAGTCTTAGAGCACAGTGATATCTTAGCATTGTTTCAAGCTAGCATGAGATGAGGTTTGCAGAGTTTGGAGGAAATCAGGGTCAGAGCGGTGAGAAAACAGGGCAGGGGAGAGCCTACAGTTTACAAATTGATAAGGGGAGGAGTTGCAAAGAAACAGCTCAGGATTGACCCGTTGCAGTGGGGTTGGAGGATAGGCGCAGAGCAAATTCGGGACTTGTCGAGCTTGTTAGGTAGCTTGGTGACCACCAAGTTGACCAAAGGAAAAAAGACTTCAACCCAACTCATCGCTCGGTGGGAAAGAGCGCAGCCTTGCATACAACAGCCACTAGAAGGAAAGCTTAAGAAACTATGGGGACAATTGAGTCTCATTCCATCCCAGAAAACAGCATCTCTGTTATGGCTGCAGTCTCACCTGTCAGTCCCCACAACGAAATGGTTACGAGACAGAGGGATGGCTGTTAGAATGGAATGCGACAGATACAATTGGCCTGTTGAGTCCATAACGCACCTATGGCGGGTCTGCCCCCGTTCACAGAAATGGTGGAACTGGTGGTTCCATCACTGGGCGCATATGTCGGGAACGAACTATGCCCAAAACGAATGATGGGTGTTGCAAGGAGTCCTTCCGGAGCATATCTCTGCAAGCAAAGGATGGGGCTATATTGCCCAAGTATGCAGGGCGACAATGATGTGGGCTATCTGGCTGGACAGGAACGGTAGACGATTTCAGGACCAGGGCCTGGAGGAGAATCAGGCAGAGGCAATGTTCAGGCGTATGGTGGGGATGGAAATCAGGGCGGATTGGAGGAGGAAAGTGCTAAAAGGCGGACGCAATTCAAGGTTAGCATGGTTTGTAGAAACCTGGGCAAGACCAGGTGGGCTAGCAGTGGTCTCAAACAACAGGCTGAAGATATCACCATGGCTCGAATAGGGATTAATGTGGGGAAGGGGTAAGGTAGGACTAGATTAGTACGATTAGGAGGAACCAGGGCACTCGGTTCCAGCCCGGGTCACAGTAGACCACTAGGGAGGGAAGGGAGGAGAGGGTCAAACCCTAGTAGAAGGAACAGAAAGGTTCCTCTCGGCCGTATTAGGCCGGGGTTATACCGTAGGTTTTAGGACACGAT